TTGAGGTTTGGGAGAATTCGGGGACCCGGTATTCATAATTTCGGTTCGGTCGAAACCGAACCGACCGAATGCCCACCCCTAATTGGATCCAATGGATTGGTGGATTGATCCATGAATCCAAATAACATCCAAGGCTTGAACCAAAATGTAAATTTTGAAAAGTTTAGGTACTAAATTGTCATAATGAAAAATTTTAGGTACCAAAATGTAATTTTAATGATATTTTTCATATAAAAATATAAATTTTAGGTACCAAAATGTAAAATATAAAAAATATAGGTACCAAATTGTAATTTGCCATTTGGATCCATGGATGGATCCATGAATCCACCAATCCAATTGGATCTGGATCAAATCGATTGGATTAGGTGGATGGATTGGATTGAATTCATGAATTTGGATCCTAATTGCCACCTTTATCCGATATCCAATATTCAAAAAAGGAAAAGAGAAAGAAGATAAGAAGTAGGGTGGGCAAATGCAGGTGAGACTTGCGTAAGTAGGCTTAGGGAGGGTTTGTGTTAAATGGAGTGGACATTTACTGAATGATACTTTAAATTAAATAGCATCTTTAGTCCCTGAAGTTCCAAAACAATATGTTATATAACCATACCTTAAATTAAACTATATTTCTAGTCCTTCAAATATCAAATTACTACATTGTGTATCTACAATTTCTTAAAATGTGAAAAACAAGCTAATCCGGTTTAAACTGGACTAATCTTATCAGCATATTAACCCTACACTCACTTGATCGACCGGGCCAATGGCCCAAACCGAATTGACAACCTTGTTGTCTACATATCCTAAATGATTTCCTCATGGCCCATTCGCTTTTCTTCTGCTCTTCTTCGAGCTAAAAACATGGGCCGGCCCAATTAGAAGAACGACGGACAAGATGAGGCGAAATAACGAGATTCAAGACTCGAGTGAAGAGTCAAGACTCAAGAGAGAGAATCTGACGAGCAAGCGGGAAAGTTTTCGTCAAAACTTTTTGAATTCCCAATTCCCTCTGGATTCATTCCTGCCTTCCTGGAGAAGGATCTCCATTGCCATTGCTCACTGAACTATCGAACCTTTTTCTTGCATTTTCGCAAGCTTTTTTTGCCGATTTCTTCTCGACCCAATCGGAATTTGACGCTAAACTACCTTCGGAAGTCATTTCACCACCCGCTGGCGTACCCAAAATCATAGTGTTCCGAGGGTTACACATGAAGCCGTCGCCGGGGAATGCAAAGTTATACTCTTTGCGTTCACGATGAGTAACCACAATGACGGTTCAGGCGAAAGAATCCATACGGTGCAGGCTGAGCGGGACTTAGAGGCGAATTGGGAGGTCGATCTTGCCAAGAAGCTCGAGGATTACTTGCTGAAGATTTGCTCCGGTGAAATTAGGGGAACTGAGGAGGACGCTGCTCATATCTCCATCAACTTCGCTGAAGGTTAGTGTTTTCAATTTGGGTTTCGAGACTGCTGTTTCCGGTACCAAATTTTCTCGGATTTTTTTCTTTGATTTGGGGGTTAGGGTTTATGTTTTTTTGTTGATTCACGTGAGTTCTGGTGTTGAAAGATTTTCTGTTTTCTTGTGGGAATTGTAGCTGCTTTACTGCTTCAGGGTTCGGTTCAGGTGTACAGCAGGAAAGTTGAGTATTTGTACAACTTGGTTTTACATGCGTTGGACTTCCTCTCTGAGAAGAGGTGCGAATCTTGCAACATTGCTATGAAACAATTCGTGTTCTCTGCAATTGTTTTGTATCAACAACATGCCTCAGCAATCTTTTACTTGCATACTCTTGTTTAGGCAGCAGGGACAGTCGGATGATGCGTCTTCCGAACAACCTGAGAAAACTGCTTCAAGGTCTGCTAATGACGACGAAGACGATGGATTTTGGGGCTCGGATGACATCCCAGGTACACTTTCACATTTTACTCTATTGTCCATGAAGTTATGACAGGGGAAAATGAGCTTAGAAAATGGGATTTTCGTTTTTGTAGTGGAACCAAGGAGTTGCTTGGAGGCTTCTACCAGTAAAGATGCTTCCTTTTACCATTTCACGAAACCACCAGCTAATCTAGTGGTTCTTGAGGCTGATTGCCTGTATACTGGTGGTGATGGAGGGGAACTGGAGTCATATCTAGTATGACATCTCTATGCACTTTCTTTCTTTTGTTTGTAGATATGCTGGAGTCAAACAGTCATCTAAAATCCCATGTCGTTTTTTGTTTCTAATTTTTTGCAGTTAGCCACCAGTGATCTCTACCAGGATTTTATCCTGCTAGACCCATGTGATGCTCCTTCAGTAAATGACTTCTTAGATGATATAAACATTGGACATGGTCCGACATACAAGCCCAGCTCAGTCCGGAAAACTGGTCATTCCTCAGCAAAACGCTCACGGAGGTCATCCCTGGGGAAGAACCACGATGCTGCTTTCAACCGGTCACCTATTCCTGACTGTGGCTTGCAGGACAATAACAGTGATGTGGGTCCTGGCCCTTCTAAAGAGGGTAATTTTGGAGCTGGTGATCAAGGTTTTGATATGGATGATATGTATTCACCACCTGGAAACTTGGATGGTGACTCGGATTTAGACGACGAGGAAACTGATCCATGGAAGCCTTTGAATCCTCATGAACCTGGGGACTTAAAAGTGAAACCTTTCAAACGAGGTGATTATGTAAAAACATATTCATTTTCATTTCTTCCACATTCTTTTGCCCCTTCCAAAGTTAAGCAGTTTGTTACACTACTAATGGACTTTTCTGCATCAACAGTAGCCCTAAGAAAGAATATGAGAAACTCAACAAACACCTTGAGGCAAGCATCTATTGCTAAATTGTTTCCTCTTGCAAAGTTACATTCCCCAATCAGTACGGAGTTCAAAGAGATGTGGGAAGTGCGTCAAAAAACTCATGATCAGCTTGGGAACTCTCAGTCACAATCTAACCCTTTATATGAAAAGGTTTGGTTTTCTACCCAGAGATGGCATACATCTGTACCTCTGTTACTATTGTCGATTCACACTTGTCTTCTGCAATCTAGTTACGGGAATCACTTGCTGGTGGAGGGAAGAAAACTGGAAACTTCAGTGATAATCGTGAGAGTGACAATTGGGACAATGATGATGATAACGGTGACCCAGGGTTTGATCAACCTTATGGTGAAATGCCCGAAGCTACATTTATGGATGACAATTTACCCCATCAACATAACAAGGTTTGTTGATTAACCTTTTTTTTCTTTTGGCTTGTATCTTCTAGTGACTCAAGCCCTGAGAACCTGTTTCCTTTTCGATTGATTTCACTCAGAATTTTGATGGTGCTACTGGCTTTGATAACGGTGATTGCTTTGAACAAGGAGAACCAAGCTCCCAAGCAAGTTTAGAGGATCTTTGTCGATCGCATCTAGTAAGTGGAGATACCTTCTGATATATTCAGCGATTAGTTTTCTCATGTTTAGTTACCTTCTAATTACTTTTTAGTGTATATTTGGTACACATTGGTGCTGGGTTTGTGGTTGTTTACCTATTTCTCTTTTCATCCTTTGTGATTTTCCAGGATGCTCTTCTTGCTAACATAGCTGAATCTGAGAAGCAGACAGAACTAGCTGCTCGAGTTTCATCATGGAAACAAAAAATCGAGCATAACCTTGAAGTGCAAGTAATTTTTATTTTCTTCCCTTGCCTTTTCTTTTGATGTTCTGTACCCACTATCATGTTTCTCATTGCTGGTCATTCAAGTCACCCAAACTTGCTTAAATCTCCCTAAATTGACTGTGGAAGGTTTGTCTCTGGTAGGATTCACGGCCTCCATTTGACATACATGTCTATGGTAAAAGGATTCTCGACAAATTGTCTCTCGAATCAGAAACCGAGACCATAAAATCCTTTGCTGATATTGTGACGGGCCAAGAAGGGCATGATGTCGCTCGTTCCTTCTCTGCTATGCTGCAGTTGGTTGTTACCTGTTTCCTAATCTCCTTCACCCCTTCACTTTACATTTGAAAATGTCTTCTTTTTGTTTAGATAAATCACCCGATTTTGATTATCCAATGCTCGGCTGATTTTCAGGTGAACGATGGAGATATTGATCTGGAGAAGAATGCTGCTGCTAATGGAAAGTCGTTCTGTTACACTGCTGTGAATCCATTCCACGTCAAACTCCTCAAAAGGGATGGAAGACAAGCCCAGAAACACTTTAAATTCTCCAAAAAGAGAGTCAAATCACCACTCATGAAAGCACGGAACAAAGAAGGCGAGAAGAAGCTCTCTAACGATAGATCCCCGACACCTAAGTCACAGTTAGAAAATGGCTCACCTCCACTGACGAACTCCAAGTTCACTTCAAAGCTACAGATGAACAGCAGCAGAAGGTGCACTCCAGAGGGCAAAAGGAGAAGAAGATCAAGATTTGTTGAACCAATTGACTTGCCTTTCCCTGTCTGATGCATCAATCAACTTGTTTGCTGGGAGCAAATTCAATCCTTCAAGCTGAATGGTTTCCGACAACAAGCACACATAAAGGTGCGAATTTTCTCATAACCTTTCTACCCTATTGGAGCTTGATTACTCTAATGACATAGTCCTGTGATGTCATCTGTAATTTACTTGGGTTTAGTTTAACTTGTGTTAGGGATCTTGTGCAAAGTCTGAGGGTTCTTGTAGTAACTACACTTTGCTAACTACTAGAAGCCTAGGTTGAACAATTTTTTCTCATTTCATTCATATAGAGTCTGTAATGAAATCGGCTGACCATTTGACTTTCTGTTGATGGCTAAAGGGTTAATGTGAGAATTGTGTGGAGGTTGTTTGTTAAACTGCATTGTTTATGGCTTTGACTATCGAGTCTCGAAAAGGAATAGTAGCAGCCAAACTCGTCTGAGCAACCCTATTTTTAGGAGATGGCGTAGAGAAGTAGGAGTCTGAAAGATATAGATTGCGAATGTCAAAGTCAAGCTGACTTTCTGCTCAACAAACAACTGCTGCTGCAACTTCTACATAATGTAGAGATCTTTTTAAAGGTTAGTAAAGCATAGAATGTCAACGCAGAATAATAAATAGTTTTACTAGAAGAAACGAATCCTGTGATTATGAAGCAGTTTCGTGTGTTTTGTGTTCGGGTGGAGTGGGAGCTACGTCAGGTGTAGACCCTATTGACCGTCCATGACATGGATGAAACATTCATCCTATTATGGGTTCAAACTTGAGATTTTTAATATCTTTCGCCATCGTAGAGCGGGAGTCTCGACTTTTCATTCGTTTGCACGATTGTGTGTCTTGACTGTTTGAACTCTAAGTACGGTGGATGTTATCGTAGCAGCATTATTGCCAAATCAATTCCTTGGGGGTGTGTTTTTCTTTCATTTTGATACTCATTTCATCGCTTTTTTTCACCCTCATCATTTCAGGACTGTTTCGTATGTTTCTCATACAAGGTTTGAGTTATTACGTTCAGTTCTTTGAATCACAATTCACATATCAGAATGTGTTGACCCATACCAGACTTATGCCCATACACAACACATTATTATATTTATAGGGATTTCCTACGGTAACTTGAAGTAAGGTAACTTGAATTTTTTTACCTGCTATAGCAGGTTTTACAGGTCGTATTACGTAAAATACAATAGGCATTACGTAATGGTTACGTAACATATGATAATCTTACGTAACAGTTGTAAAAGATCATTACGGAAGCCTTACGTAATAGAATGTGTCTTTACGTAATGAGTATTAACCTCGTGTTACGTAAAATGCTAAGTCATTACGGAAGCCTTACGTAACGCTACTGATTTAACTGTTACGTAAGAAATAATTGTCGTTCCGTTAACCTTTACGTAATGGAAGGTCTTTTTAGTAAGAGTATAACTTGCGTTACGTAAGTGCTAAGTCATTACGGAAGTCTTACGTAACGCTTCCGATTTAATGTTACGTAAGAAATAACTATAATTCCGTAACTTTTTACGTGATGAATATGTATTTTACGTAACAGTTGTTAAATATCATTACGGAAGCCTTACGTAATAGAAGATTTCTTTACGTAATGAGTATTAACATCGTATAAGTAAAGAGCTAAGTTAATACGGAAGGCTTACGTAACGTTTCTAATTTCAATAAGAATTAAAAAGGAAATGTTAAAATATGGAAAGACAACTAAATATGAAAAAGGAAAGAAAAAAATAGGAAAAGGTAACTTGGAATGGGTGACCGGCAACTCATGTTGCCATTTATTTTTTTAGTTATTTTTATTTAATTAATCAATGGTTGAAAATAACTTTGATGAATTTTAACGGTTTAGATCTATGCAAGTTACCTAACTTTAAATTACACCCAAGTTATGGTAGGAGATCCCTATATTTATATGGGATCTCCTACAGTAACTTGAGTATAATTTCAAGTTAGGTAACTTGTATAGATTTAAACCGTTAAAATTGACCAAACTTATTTTGAATCATTCATTAAATAAATAAAAAATAAATAAAATAACTAAAAAAATAAATGGCAACATGGGTTGCCGGTCACCACATTCCAAGTTACCTTTTTCTATTTTTTTTCTTTCCTTTTTCCCATTTAGTTGTCTTTCCATATTTTAACATTTCCTTTTTTAATCCTTATTAATTAGAAGCGTTACGTAAGTCTTCCGTAATAACTTAGTTCTTTACGTAACACAACGTTAATACTCATTACGTAAAGAAATCTTCTATTACGTAAGGCTTCCGTAATGATATTTTACAACTGTTACGTAAAATACATATTCACTACGTAAAGGTTACGAAATTATAGTTATTTCTTACGTAACAGTTAAATCGAAAGCGTTACGTAAGACTTCCGTAATGACTTAGCACTTTACGTAACGCAAGGTTAATACTCATTACGTAAAAAGACCTTCCATTACGTAAAGGTTACGGAACGACAATTATTTCTTACGTAACAGCTAAATCAGTAGCGTTACGTAAGGCTTCCGTAATGACTTAGCATTTTACATAACGCGAGGTTAATACTCATTACGTAAAGACACATTCTATTACGTAAGGCTTCCGTAATGATCTTTTACAATTGTTACGTAAGATTATCATATGTTACGTAACCATTACGTAATGTCTATCGTATTTTACGTAATACGACCTGTGAAACCTGCTATAGCAGGTAAAAAAATTCAAGTTACCTTACTTCAAGTTACCATAGGAAATTCCTATATATTTATATGGTGTTAGGTTTAACCCTATATGTGAAGCGTTGAAAAATGGGATTTGATGGGTTCTGTTCTTCTTGCTTCCGGTAACTTTCACTGAATAGTACAACCGCGTAGCGGTTAGTTACTGAACGGTAATGGTGAAAAATGTCAATGGGATCACACTTTATTTTAGGAAAAAAAATCCAAAAGTACCACTGTTTAAAAAAAAAATTCCAAAAATACCACTCAATCCCAAAAAATTCCAAAAATACCACCCCTTTTCAAAAACCGCCACCCCAACCGCTAAAACTGCTTGTCGGGGGCGCGGTTTTGGACCAAACCGCGGGCCTAGGGGGCGGTTATAAAAAAAAAAATTTTGGACCAAAACCGCTGGGTGGGGTGGCGGTTTGGCCCAAAACCGCCACCCCAACCAGCGGTTTGGTCCAAAAATTCGGTCGAAACTTCAAACGAACGTAACTTTGCACTCGGGTATCCGATCGTAGCGATTCTTTTTTTCATTTCGCATAACTTTTCAAGATCTACAACTTTTACTAGGATGAAATTTTCAAAACAGGAACTATTTGTGGATATACGGGACCTTGAGAATAACTTTACCTTTACTTTTCAGAAATCCATGTGCATTTTGAAATTATGATTATATTAAAAGTTGTAGATCTTGAAAAGTTATGCGGAATAAAAAAAAAATCATGACATTCGGATTTTGGAGCACAAAGTTATGGCCGCCCAAAGTTTGACGAAATAAAAAAAAATGCCGTTCGGGGTGGCAAATGACGTTTTTTCGAGACGAAGACGGAACGCGACTGTTTGAGACTTGCAAGATCTCAAAAAGTGATTCGGATTCAAAAAATGGAGGCCGCAAACTTTTTGAGATCTTGCAAGCCGCAAACCGCCGGGTCTCGCCTTTCGTCAAACTTTGGGCGGCCATAACTTTGTGCTCCAAACTCCGAATGTTATGAACTTTTTTTTGATTCCGCATAACTTTTCAAGATCTACAACTTTTAATATAATCATAATTTCAAAATGTACATGGATTTCTGAAAAGTAAAGGTAAAGTTATTCTCAAGGTCCCGTATATCCACAAATAGTTTCTGTTTTGAAAATTTCATCCTAGTAAAAGTTGTAGATCTTGAAAAGTTATGCGAAATGAAAAAAAAAATCGCTACGATCGGATACCCGAGTGCAAAGTTACGTTCGTTTGAAGTTTCGACCGAACTTTTGGCCAAACCGCTGGTTGGGGTGGCGGTTTTGGGCCAAACCGCCACCCCACCCAGCGGTTTTGGTCCAATTTTTTTTTTTTTTTTATAACCGCCCCCTAGGCCCGCGGTTTGGTCCAAAACCGCGCCCCCGACAAGCGGTTTTCGACCAAACCGCTGGGTGGGGTGGCGGTTTTTGAAAAAGGGTGGTATTTTTGGAATTTTTTGGGGTTGGGTGGTATTTTTGGAAATTTTTTTCTAAACAGTGGTACTTTTGGATTTTTTCCTTATTTTAGATGGTGTTTAGTATCTGTCTCGACCCCGTTTGTTGCCATCGCCGATATTGTCCAATGGGGAGAAAGTGAAACCAAGAAAAACAGAAGAACAGGAAAGTGGGTTTTGCTGTGGAGAGAAAACGTGTGAGGAAGGAACGACAGATGGAGATTGGACGCCATGTTAATGGAACCTTTGATTATGATGGATTGAAAAACTGGTTGGTTGATTGGTTGGTTTCGTTCAATTTGCCAAGTTGTGGGAAGTGAGAAATCTAATCATTCCATCATCATTGATCAACGGCACAATAGTTGTGGTCCATTGTTGTTTTATAAATATGAACAGTTGTGGTGGATTTGAGTCGATTATGGACTTTGGTGGAGGGTCGGTTGTTTAGACTGAAATTAACGACGACAATGGATTGAGTTGGATTGAATATGAAAAATCCATATCTAATTTATCGAGTGCAACGGTAAAAAAAAAAGTGAAACTATCGGCTAGAAGTTGAATACCCTTATCATATCGTATCCAACAGGTGCCCGCAAGTAGATGGGTGAAGATGTGAATAATCTTGTTAAATGTTAATATATACGTTCTTGTGTTATCAAAATTCTCGCTACAACTAAATCGTCGTAAAAAAAAAAAAAACAATATTGATTGTTCATATAAAGTATCTTGCAATATTTGAAATAAACAAAATTACGCACTAATGTTAAATAAAATGTTATTTTAAACGGTACTCCCACAACACACTAAACCAACCAACCCCGTTATGTGGTAAAATACTAAAATGAATTAATAAACATCGAATTCACATGTTTTACCAAAATGTTATACATATCAATTCAAGCCATATCACATGTTTATTGGGAAATACTTTAACAAGCCGATTTTAAATTGTTTACCAAATCATCTTCTAGTTTGGAACAACTTGATCTCTCTCTCTTGGACTCTTGAGTTTTGACTAATGGTCAGTCGATCAAAATAATTAAATGATGTAGGGGGTCCAGTTGTTCTTCTTTTTTCTTTTTAATTAGTTTGATTTGAATTGTTTTACCAATTTGTAATTGTATGTATTAATTATTATTATCAGTATGGAACGCATATAATTGTATTCTATAGAACAACCGGCCATGCAATGAATCTCAAGTAGTTGTTCAGGAGTTAAAGCCAAACGTTTTCTCAAACTTCCAAATTCTCGTAATAAAAACAACTAATTGTTTCACTAGGGAAATATAGCTTATTGGATTATTGGGTTCACCTTTCTTCCTCCTCCACAACTCCAACGTTTTTGTTCATGCAACCGCTTGCCCACATTTGACTAGTGTCAATACATCTCCCCACATTTACCTCGATTTAATCGAGACCCATTTGTGAATAAAAAAAAAGAATTAAAAAAAAGGAATTTAATTTCTGAAGCATATCACCAAAATCAACAACACTATATCACCAAAAAAAACAAATCAACAACACTACGCAAAGTAAAGCGAAAAGAAGCGTACGTCGTACGCTTGTAAGATAAGCACAACACTTGTTGACTTCTCTATAAATATGAAAACAATACACTTCCTATTTCTTGCTAACTAGGTGGTAAAATTACTGAATCACAAAAACATGCATATTTACATATACTTCATTCAATGAATGCATGAACACCGCAATTTGAGTCGAGTGAGAAGTGAACTCTTTGATAAGAATATCCTAAACACTTCGAAGACCTTTCACACTGTCCCTCGAATATATGTTGATGATGGAAGAAACACTTTTAGATAAGAAGTAAATGTGATTATATTAAGAAAATATGAGGATATAATGACATGTTACAAACAAATGAAATTTTGTGTCATTTTAAATACACTAGTGTTTACAAATCATACCGTTTTATTAATATTATATAACACCATATTTTTTTGTCAATCCATTGATTCAATGAACCAAACAAATTCATTTTCCAAACCCATTGTCTTCTCCATGAAAAATATTCAGTCAGCACAATTAAATCAAGCACAAACCGTTTAAGACTTCCACCGTGAACAAAAGGGAACAGATAAATAAATTTGCTAAAGATTTATATGTATGAAAAAAATACATTTTCCATAATTCAGAACCAAAAAAAAAACTATCGTATTTTCTAATTCTTCCTATACATAGATCCGAGTCAACACACGGTAACCGAAGAAGACCATTCCTCAACTAAATTCCACGCTGGCCTCCACCGTCTGCCACGTGTACATTACACATTCCCTTCTTTCCCCGGCAAATTCCCCCCTCGAGACTGCCGCGCCCCATAACCTGGAAAATATTCGCCGCCCCCCTTACCAAAATTAAAAAAATCAACCCGCCACGTGGCCTACGCAACTCGTGAACTCGGAACTCGCGACCCACTCATCTCACTCACGACGGACTCGGCCGAGTCTCCTCCGCCGCCTCGCGGCCTCGCTCCAAATCAACCTCAACAAATTGCTCACCCGCCGCCGCTGCCGCCGTCGACCCACCGCAGCTTGTCGGGACAGGCGACCGCGGAGAAAGAACGCTTCCATTATTCGCCCGCCAGTCCCTGCTCAGAATCCGCGTAAACGAAAGCATCCGGCTCATCGGCGACCTGAACCCCTGACCGCCGGCGACTCCGCCACCGCCGACGACGACGGCTCTTCCCCGAAATTCCTCCCCGGCACCTCGATCCCCAGCTCCCCCCTCGATTTCCGCCCGCCGGCCGACGTGGAAGGCTCCAGCGTCTCGATCGCCGGCAGAGGCTCGACCGGCGAGCGGCAGAGCGGACACGTGGAGTGAGAATGGAACCACATGTCGATACACTCGGTGTGAAAGCTGTGCGCACATTTCGGCAGCGTCCGCCCCGCCTCCTTCTCCTCGAATTCCGACAGGCAGACGGCGCACTCCGCCGGCGGCGCCGCGGCGGCGGCGCCGGAGTAGACGAACACCGGGAGGGATTTCAGGACGGCGGCGGGCAGCCCTCGAGATTCTACTCCGGCTGGGTTCGGGTTCGGGTTCGCCGGATCGACGTAGAAGACGAGGTTCTGCCGGCGGCTGCGGCGGCGCATCTGGCGGCGGCGCGCGCGGAGGAGGTACCAGCGGGCGTAGAGGTGGAGGCAGATCATGAGGATTACGACGAAGAAGAGGACGACGATGGCGGTCAGCATGATCTTCCCGCTGAGCGCGTAGCTCCTATCGGAGAAGGAGGGTCTGGAGCCCGGAGAATCCATTAATTGCTGGGCCGTGCAGCGGAAAAAATGTCGAGTGAGGGGAATAATTGGTAAAGTAGAAAGAAAGGAGGAGAGGGAAAGTTCTATATATTTATGTGAATGGGAGAATTATTGAGAAGGGTGCGGGGGGACGCCATGTTTGACGCGGAAGTTCTTGTTCTTCTTTCTACTTATCTTGTTGATATTCTCCCTCCCACACCAGAGTTGAAATTTCCATAATTGTCCCTGCCATGTGAAACTGTGAATTTGCTTTCGTGGGCTGGAAGAAAGATGATCTGTTTTTTCTTGTTCACATAGGAAGTTGATGGATGATCAGCTTGATTAGGGATGGATGGGAGTTAGATAATGACTGAGTGTTAAATATTATGGATCTACATTTCAAATGCATATATCTTTATGATAAATCTGTGTATATCCTAAGTAATTAGACTCGATTCAAGAGTGTATGTAGAGTTGAATGTGAATAAATGCGAGATTCATGTATAATTAGAGTTTAGACTAATAATGCGTATTAGTATAAAATTATCAACATATATTTATTGTGATTGATAAAATTTAGATGAATTTTAGGTAGATCATTGTATAATAAGGTTTAGGTAATTTCATCTTGTTTTATTAACCCTAATTTGTATGTGATTGGTTTGATCGATCCAGAACGTATTCTTTCAGACCTTCACCTCCCCATCTAATATAGAAATATAGCGTGGATGCTAACTATCGGAAAGAAAGGACCCTTCATCTTATCCTACAATCTAATAAAGCTGATTTGCAATTGCACCCTTTCTTTTGAGAAGGGGGAAGAAGATTTTTCAAGTTTGGCATGAAGTTTCCATCTAACGATTAACGAACTGGGGTTGGAGAAGAGGAATCGGGTCATATTGGACTCTGAAGTCCAGCCTTGTAGCCCACAATAAATGTATTGGAACTAGACTTTACATGAAAGCCCAGAGAGCAAGAAACTGCAAGAAGGGAGAGTGACATCATGGGCTTGAAGAAAATACCAACAAAGGCAGACTTTATCCTTGAGCCCAACCCGCCACTGATCTGTTTCACTGGCCTGTTGATAGTAGATAGCGGCTGGCTATATACCCTAATCAAATCTAAATCTGAAAATTTTGAACTCCCACGAATAAAGACTCGGCCTAGTGATAATATCACTAGTCGTGAACTTAGAAACATAAGTTCCAAAATTCCTTCAGTAGTCGTCACCCTATATTAAAATAAAGTGTTATGAGACAATTAAAGTGTGAAGGAATGATGCAGGTAGCAGCTAACGATGAAGAGCTCCAATGACAGAGTCGTCTGCGGCTTCCTTTCACCTCAGACGAAGAAGAAGAAGATGCTGCCGCTCCACGACGTCGTTCTCAGCTAAGCAGTGAACTCCGCAAGCCAGAACGGTGTCGCATAGTAGTTCGGATTAATAAGCCTTTGTAGGCCAAGTGTCACTTTGTTAGTGGATAGCTTTATTACCGTTGGTAGATAGTAGGATTACTTTACTCTCTTGTTCTGTAGTGGTAATTCTGATAGTGTCCTGATGTATATAAACAGATCAGAAAATGGAATGCAGCCTCTCGGCAAATTCCCCAACGTTGCCATCTTCCTTTCCTTTCATTGCGAAATACCCTAATCTTGTGCTAGGGTTTCAGGCTTTCTCATGGTATCAGAGCCTGGTTACGGCTACTGATCCTTCTTCTTCTTCTTCTACACTTTTCCGTTTCTGAAACGATTTCTCTGTTCCTGTAATGGATGATCCAAACACTCCGGATCCTGGGTCGTCTGCTACCACTGCTTCTACCACAACCCAGGCAGCCCGTTATGAAGATCCATATTCCAATCCTCTATACTTAGCTGCCAGCGACAATTCCTTCCTTCCCGTCATCGGCTTCAAGTTGAACGATGACAACTATCTTCTCTGGAGCGAGTCAATGGAGGTTGCCCTGAGGACCAAGAACAAATGGGGTTTCATCGACGGCTCAGTTCAGGTACCCATTGACACAGATCCTTCTCGTAGTACTTGGGATAGATGCAATGGTACCATTCTGTGTTGGATTCGTAATTCGGTTTCTGAAGATATTGTTCCAAGTCTGAGGAACATCAGATCTGCTGCTGATGCTTGGGGTTACCTGAAATCCAAGTTTAGTCAAGGCGATTCTGTTAGAATTGCTAATCTGCAGGAGAGGGTTGATCTTGCTAAACAGGGAAATCGAACAGTAAGACAATATCATACTGATTTAAAACTTTTATGGGATGAACAGCAGCATTATGAGCCCATTCCTGTGTGTGATTGTCCTTCTAAGACTTATGAAACAGTCATGAAGTATCAGGACAGGGGGAGAGTCATTCGTTTTTTGCTTGGCTTGAATGAGAATTATCAACAGGTGAAGACACAAATGCTCATGCTCGACCCGCTACCTGATATGGATACTGTTTATAGAGCAGTTGTTCAACTTGAGAGGCAAATGAACACTGGCAAGACTAAGGCATCAGTTGACTCTATTGCTCTTGCCGCCCCATCTGGTCATCCTGGTCAGAGAAGGGAGACTGGGAGAGATGGAAAGAAATCTCAACCTCAAGAGCTCTTTTGCCGGTACTGTAAGAAAGATAACCACGTGATTGAAGATTGCTTTAAGCTAAAGAACAAGAGGAAAAATGAAGCAGGTGGAAGGAGTTTTGCAGGTTCTATTGACACCAATGGAACTGATGCAGTGCCTCCAGCAGGAGGAAGTAACTCTCAAAGCCCTACTAGTCCAAGTTCAGACAACAGGAACAGTCAGGAGGGTCAGCCTATTTGGTTCACATCTGAGGAGATACATAGGCTGCGTAGCCTACTCCAGCAGCAGCCTTCCAACACTGCTTCTCAGTTCCCACAGTCCAACTCAGTTCTAACTCGCCCCAGTGGATCTCAACACTGCATTTCAGGTAGCATTTGTCTCTCCAATGCCTCTCAGAACACTCTTACTGCTACATGGGTGCTTGATACAGGTGCCAGTGATCACATTGTGTGCAATGTGAATCTATATCTAAGGTGCAAAGAAGTTCATAGTATGTTTGTCAATCTGCCAAATGGTCAGAAATCGAGAGTAACACATGTAGGGCTGGTTAAATTACCTTGTGGGATCCTCCTTACCAACGTTTTATTAGTCCCCTCCTTTTCTTACAATCTCATTTCTGTCAGCCAGTTAACCAAAAATACACCTGTCTCACTTGTGTTTGAATCCGACTTCTGTTGTATCCAGGACCTAATATCACAACAGAAGATTGGTTCAATCCGGGTAGATAGAGGACTCTACTTACTTGGGAGTGAAGCAGGCAGCTCAACCAATACCTTACCTCAAATCTGTGGAGTGAAAACCAGTCAAGATCCTTCTTTGTGGCACCTAAGACTTGGCCATTTATCTTTGCCTAGATTACAGACTATTCACAAGAGTTGTAATGATGTTTTTCTTCCTTCTAGTTCCCATTGTGAGATATGCCAGTTATCCAAACAAAAACGCCTTCCATTTCCAGTTAGTCAATCTAGAAGTAAGAATGTTTTTGACATGATCCATGTGGATATTTGGGGACCGGTTGATGTAGTTTCACACGATGGTTTCAAGTATTTTCTGACTGTGGTAGATGATTTCAGTCGATGTACATGGCTGTTTCTCATGAGTTTTAAGTCTGAAGCTAGAGCTTTGCTTCAGTCTTTCTGTTTGATGGTGGAAAACCAATTTGACAAGCGAATCAAGATCATTCGATCTGATCAGGGGCAGGAATTCAATATGAGTAATTTTTATTGTTCTAAAGGCATTATACATCAGATGAGTTGCGTTAGGACTGCCCAGCAAAATGGGAGGGTAGAACGCAAGCATCAACATTTATTAAATGTAGCTCGATCCCTCAAGCTGCAATCTGGAATGCCAAAAAGCTACTGGAGCCATTTTGTTCTTCATGCCTCTTATCTGATTAATAGGATTCCTACTCCTACATTGGAAAACAAGTCTCCATTCGAGTGTCTCTATGGTGTGCCACCCGATTACAGCACTCTTAGAGTCTTTGGATGTATGTCTTTTGCAACTGTGCTTGATGATCATAAAGGGAAGTTTGACCCTCGAGCTCGACGAGCAGTGTTTTTGGGGTATCCATTTGATGTGAAAGGGTTCAAGCTGTTGGACTTAGACAGTTTGGAGGTGTTTGTTAGCAGGGACGTTGTTTTCCATGAGGATGTTTTCCCTTTCAAGAGTGCTGTCAGTTCTGCTGATAAGGTTGTTCCCTCTCCATCTTTTCCTTCACCATCTTTTCTTTATGATACATTCAATGATTCTCCCATTCTACCTACTGATCACAATGTTCATGAGTCTACTGATCCTGATTACTCTCCTCCTTCTCCTACTGGATCAGTTGACTCGATTCTTCTTCTCTTCCTTCTCCTCTTTCTCAAACTTCACAACCTCATTCTCCAAGTCTTCCCATTGCTCTTCGTAAAACTTCCAGAGAATCAAAAAGACCTGCTCATTTATCTGACTATCATGTCAGTTTACTTTCTTCCACTCCTTCAGCTTATGATTCCAAATTGTTATACCCTTTGCGTGACTGTATTGGTTATGACCATTTGTCCCCTTCTCACAAACACTTCTCACTTTCCATTTCTGTTTTACCTGAACCTCAAACTTATCAGCAGGCCAGGCTCATTCCTTGTTGGGATGCTGCCATGAATGTTGAAATGGCTGCTCTTGATGCTAACAGAACATGGGATGTGGTAGCTCGACCGGTTAACAAACCTGTTGTGGGGAATAAATGGGTTTACAAAACCAAGTATCTTCCTGATGGCTCTATTGAAAGGTGTAGAGCACGCTTAGTTGCTAAGGGATACACTCAAACTCACGGTGTTGATTTCATGGAAACTTATTCCCCTGTAGCGAAGATGAATTCTGTTAAATTGTTGATAGCAGTAGCTG